ATTCTATAATGATTGTCACTAAGTTTAAGTATTAACAAATATAATTGTGAAACAAAACTGAGTTTGGGATTACATACAAACAAGAATATAAATTATACAATTGAAGATGGTTTTAACAATACCAATCGTTGATCTTATGCTATCGGCGGCGTTGTCAGGTTGTCCCGGGCTCGGCTGTGGCGAGGATCTGGTCTGGTTGTACACTCGCTACACGAGACTCTAATAATTGGCGAATAATAAACGTCGGACTGTCGTAGGTAACTCCGCGGTGACTCTATCCTTAGTGAGATCTTTATCCTAAAGATCTTTATTGATCTTTATCCTAAAGATCTTTATTGATCTTTATCCTAAATGAGACTAACGCGAGAGATTAACCCGTCCGCGACTACAGAGTATTGAGTGTCAAAATAATAATACACAAAGAGCTGTCCGTGGTCGTGACCACGGGTTTATATAGCCCCAGATCCTTGCCTGGCGCAATTCGTAATTTCGGAATCTTAATTGCCACATTTCCCGAATCTGGAGCATGTTCTAGATTCGACAGGTGACTTATGCCTAACAGCGTAATATCGCTGACGTTCGTTTGCTGAGTCGCGGTTCACGCGACTCGGTTTAGTGCCACGATTTCCGAATCGTGGTTCATGCGCATTCCTAAAGGTTTGACAATTGTTGAAGTGGAGTACCATTCGGCAAGGCTGTATGTAACAGAGGTAAGTGGGTTCCTCGGTGAAATAAAGCGGTGGACATGATTCCCTAGGATAGTTATTTATTTCCCAGCTCTCGCTGGAGTCCAAATTTACACTATACACAACTTAAATCTAGAACAAAACTTAAAACTAAAGACAATTAAACGGCGCCACGTCGCGTCGACGTGATCGCGGTGGGGAAACGAATGCACGAGAAGGGAGAACTCTTCGTGCAGTCGGATCAGAGGGACGATCTGCGCGAGAAAGGAATACTCTTCACGCAGTCGAATCGGTAGGGAGAAGACAACTTCGCGAGGAAATCTTCACGGCGTCTGGGCGGTTCTACACCACGGGGATATCTCATTCCGATGTTCAACGAGCCACCTTATATACTCATTTCGGCCGCGTTGCCGAAATGGTATGTGTTTGTCGGTGTTTCGAAATTGCCGTTAGGTACTGTTTACCGATGCTGTCTGGCATCGGCAGCCAGTGTTTACGTCCGTGACTGTTGTTAGTTTTTGTCGCAGCGTGGGAACGCGGTTCCCACGATCGGCGACTCGGTAAACGTTCGCTATGTGTCCGCGTTTCTTAATTTATCGTCTTAATCCTAATTACTCGTCTTGTAATAGATAGCGCCGGTTTTCTGTTACAATACATATTTATTTAATATTCGCAATAATATATTTTTTCCCGATTATAAAATATATATATTCATCTGATATTCAAATTCCCACCGAAGTAAAAAAAAATAAATTAACTTGTTTTAATGAAATCCAATCACAAGAAATAAAGTAATAAAAGTAAAATCTATAAATAAATGAAACACAATATAAAATTTGATTTAATTTTTTTTTAGATCTCTTAATTTTCAAGATTTATTCAACATTGCCCGAATATTCAATACGCATCTTCTAAACATAAATTTCACATTATCCGAATATTTTTTGAACATTTCTGTTAAAATATTTATGGGAAATAGAAAACATTGATACTGGATTTTTCAGGATATGTAGGTATCAGTTTTTATATTCAATTAATATCAACTCAAAAAGTAATTTGTATTAAACTTCTTTATTTTTACAAATGAAATCAGGGTGTACAGGGTGTATAAAAATTACTGGTCACCACTTTCAGGGGTTATTGTACACATCTGGATCGGTGGATATTTGCAAAAAAAAAACTATCCTCAAAATCCATTATGACCTCAAAGTTTGAGGTCAAAGTTCTTTTTAATTTTAAAAAATTCTACTCCAGGAGTAGGTAAAAAGTTTCAAATGAGCCACATACCGGAGACGAACCGTTGTCGCGTAAAAAATTGTTGAAGTTTTCCTAATTCTCGATAGCGCGGAGCAACTCACGAGGCGCCACAGCGGCGCCGAGGGTCCTCCAACCTAGCTCCTATTTGCTTATGCACGTACGATGGTGAAGTGTGATCGCATTACACAAACATAATGCGCAGCGCGGAACAAAATACTACTACTTACTACGCTGAGCATTCAAAATCCCTCAAGGAAGAAGTATACAGTATATGTTATTGAGAAGAAACAATACTTTATGGATAATTTATGGATGACGCGGAGAAAATGCCGTTTCGAAAACGTTCAACAGCTCACAAGGGGAGGTCGCGATCCGGACGAGCGCTTTTTGAACGAGATCGAGCTCAGAAAGAGACATCGCCTAGTGTCCCCCGAATTTTTTAATCAGATTTTTTTCATATGTAAAGAAGGGTATGTAGGACAATCTCTGCAAGTGAGAAGGCGCGACTGTCTTTCATTTTCGAGAAATAAATTTTTAAAAATAGCTAAATTTCGATTGACGAGTGTCGACCATACAAGAGTCGGAGGTATCATAGAAGCAGCGTGGCGCAGTCGTTGGAGTGCCAGATTGGGAAGTCGATCTTTTGCGCTGGACGCGGTACGTTCCCGGTAGGAGTCACTTATTTTTCTTTTTTTTACTTTTTCTTCCTTTTGTATCATGTTTTGTTATGTTTTGTTTTGTTTTTGCAATGTTTAATATAATTAAATTGTTATTTACAAACTATAATGACGTAAGTTTTTATAAAAACTTGTAGAAACTCCTTTCACATCCTGACTTCTTTTTCAATGCGATAGAAAACATGAAAATTGCACAATATTCTATAAAAATAATCTTAATATATAAAAAGGTTGTTTCCATAACAAAATGTTATTGAAACGTATTTTAATTGTAATTGTTATGGAACGTACCGCGTCCAGCGCAAAAGATCGACTTCCCAATCTGGCACTCTAACGACTGCGCCACGCTGCTTTTATGATACCTCCGACTCTTGTATGGTCGACACTCGTCAATCGAAATTTAGCTATTTTTAAAAATTTATTTCTCGAAAATGAAAGACAGTCGCGCCTTCTCACTTGCAGAGATTGTCCTACATACCCTTCTTTACATATGAAAAAAATCTGATTAAAAAATTCGGGGGACACTAGGCGATGTCTCTTTCTGAGCTCGATTTCGTTCAAAAAGCGCTCGTCCGGATCGCCACCTCCCCTTGTGAGCTGTTGAACGTTTTCGAAACGGCATTTTCTCCGCGTCATCCATAAATGATTGTAAATACTACCCAAACTGTATTATATGTGGTATCATTGTAATCAGAAAAATGTCACAAATGTAATATTGAAAGTCTCGCTTATTCGGCTAGTCCCTTACTTTCAAGTATCGCGGCATCACGCAGCCTACTCGTAGGCACACGGACATGCCACCAGGCGTTGCATGAATGAGTGTGTCTTGACAATGCTGCTCGCCAGCCTTCATGGCCGGCACCATGCTGCCGAATATTGTTAACCCTTTCGTTACGGATGCCGACTATAGTCGGCGGCCGCGTGACGACCTGTGTGTACGGGTGCCGACTATAGTCGGCGGCCGTGCGACGTCCTGTGTGTACGGGTCCAACTATAGCCGACCGCGGGGCCCGCGGGATGACCTATGTGTATGGGTGCGTCACATTTCGCGGCGTGATGCCCCGTTCAGTGGCGTCACTCCCGCGGCGCGTACTGCCGTAACCAAAGGGTTAATTATGACACAAAAGAGCAAAAGTAGACTACCTATAGGAGCTTGCGCTCTAGTTTGAACATTTATCTAGCGGAAATGACTATTGAGAGGTCTCAAATTTGCATTGTCGAGACAAAAATAGGACAATACGGAACCCTTGCAGTTCCGTGTACGTATACAGTGGTGTGGAGCTGTGTGAGTGCCTACGAGGTCATACAAGGCACGGCAGTCCACTCCCATAAGTACATTGTAACGTAGTCTTAGCTTAGTTCAGTTTAGTTTAATTTATGACCAGGCCACTTGAGTCGATATTATGTGCAGGCGCGCCCCGGTGAGGCCGCCTGTATTGTAGCGTGTTATCTTTTAACATTTTCCCATATTCCAAAATAATTTTAATGTAAAAATCAAATACAAGTATAACATTTTTATAAATATATTGCTTATTTTCCATTATTAAATTTATATTTGTAGATGTAATATAGAATTAGGCAATTCCAGTAGTTCAAGGAGGTTACTCTATTCGACATGTATATATATATTTTTTTTACTACTACACTTTTACCATTTATTCTCTTTCAATAACACTTATATTTCATTATGCGTATGCTTTTACCTATCTTATTACGTTCATACTAGCTATAGCTACTTTTTTCATCATCACAAAAGACAATTTTTTCAATCTATTGTAATCAATCCAAGTTAGTTTACACGTACATAATGTTTTTTACCAATTTCTATATATACACACCTACTTAAAAGAAAAATGTATGACCGCGGGCATTTTTTAAACTTACTACGATACTGAACCATGAAGAAAAGCGTCTTAGACTATTAGCGCAACGACCGTAGCAGAGACGACAGCAACGCTACAGTGGACAGCATGATAGCGAGGCAGCCATATTGGCATACAAATCAAGATTTCACAGCAACGAAGCTCATCAAGTTTTTTGAAGCGAAGAAGCAATATTTTCTCACGATTCTTTTTCTAAAATATTCTTTACATCACTCCGCATGCCACTCTAACGTCCGATTTTGCAATTTCAACTTTAAAATATGATAAAAATATGTTTTTAAGGAACAAATTTGTTTTTTGCTAATTTTCGAAACAAACTCTTGATAGATCGATAGATTTACTTCCCCTGATTACGAAATGCATAATCATTATGTGTTTGTTTTCATTATTGTGCATAAAAAACGCGAAAAACAGTTTCGTAGTTCACCTATTCTCCGTTGCTCTTCGTTGGAATAAATATTATCCATCTGTAACCTTCTTTAGCTATGCTCATATTCAAAATGGCGACGTGCTTGGTAGTTATCTCATTCATGGAATAGGTTATACAACACAAGTCAAAATATTTAAAACAATAACTAAATAAACCGATTTGTCAAAGTTACGAAAACAATACTATGATTACGTTGAAATAACGTATTACGTTTTGACGCCTTTAATGTTATATTGATCGACGAATTCGTGGATAATGGCTGAAAATGCTGTTCAGTGCGACGACGAGTTTTTACATTCCATCAAAACACTTCTTTGGGGTAATGCTGTCAAGGAAGATGTTTTTAAACGCTGGGCCCAAGGTAAATGTATATTTGAATAAATTTTCAACGCTTTTATGATTTAGTCAGTGTTTTGAATTGACTCTCTGTTATTTTCAAATCATTACAACAGTAAATGACTATTAATCGATAAAGTTCATTTTGGTCATTAATAACAAAAAAATAGGTTGGAAGAATAACAAAATCATGCTTATAAATAATTTAATTATTTCTACATAATTAATTTAAATACTTTTTAATAATTTTAATTTACTTACAGTTTTGAAAATCGGAATATTATGAATGATCAAATAATGTTATAATATATTATATATATATATACTTTAGATGATAATGAGTAAATTACATTAACAACTGGTTTAGTTAATCAATGTTTGAAATAATCACAATTGAGTTTATATATTTCAGTAAGCTCTTAAGCTAAAAACTGTAATATAGGATTAGATTCTTTGCTCTATGTCTTTTGTAAATAAATGATAATATTTATTAAAATTGTAAAAGTATTAAGTTTTCTTATATATCATGATTTACTCCTTCCATACTATCCTTCTTGAAGGATAAAAAAGTTATATGTTAACACTAAATATTATTCTAATAATGGAATTCAAAACATCAATTTACAACATTGAAATTATTAAGAAAACAATTTAACGACACATAGAAAGTGCAGTAACAGAAATGATAATAAAAAATATTATTACTTAAGCTTGTAATAAAAACCTTATAGTTGATATGATTTATGTTAATTTATTTCAGGTTTCTATTTTAGTCCAGATGAACCCACAGCATTAATACAAGCAGAAGGTGGTCCGTGTGCAGTGATAGCCCCTGTTCAAGCTTTCATCTTAAAGCAGTTACTCTCTGAGACAGACATTTCAACCTGGAGAAGTATAAATTTAGACAAATGTTATCAGCTTCTTGTGCGAGCTTCTGTTGAAATTCTAAAACAAGCTGCAGGAGACAAAGGTCCAAAATATTCTGTTATCTATATGGAATGCAAGGTTCCAAATGAAACAAGCGAAGAAGAACCTAGGTGGTCGAAGAAAGTGTCAAAAAAAGGAAGCGAGGAAGAAGAAGCAAATGCAGATAACCAAGAAGTCATTAAAACGAGGGACAAAACATTAGCAAAGGAAATCAATGAGGATCTTAAAAGCATACACCCAGATGTCTTTCATTCTCAATTGAGGTAAGAAATCGACTTTATTATATATGATACAGAAATGACTACAACACAATCATATATAGAGCAATTCATTGTGCAGAAATAAGTAAAAATTGTGAATGAAATTATCTTTTTCTGAATGCTTTGTAAGCAAACTCAAATATAGTATATCCGTAGATTGGGTGTGCGCTGAACTAACATGCAGCATTATCGAAATGATCAGCGTAGAGCAAAATCTGAAATTTGTTACAACAATAAACAATGTTTTAGGTTATTTACAACGAATATCTCGGAACATGTGGAAGAATTCTTATCAGAGAGGTTGGAAATGTTGAAAGACCGATATGGTGTCTTATTGCTTCTTTACAGCGTAATTGTTACAAAAGGTATTACCGAAATTCATGTGGAAATGTCGGATCCTTTAGAGGCAATGATTGATGCAACATATGGTTACGGAAGTCAAAGTCTTATAAATTTGATACTCACTGGCAGGGCAGTCAGCCACGTATGGGATTATGATCAAACCATTGGAGACCTCAGTAAGACATTTATTATGTAATAAGCAAATTACATACTAAACCAAAAAATATACCAGTAGAAAATGGTTTCTACTTATGTCATCGATCAGTTCCATTCATTAGTTTGAGAAATAGTTTGTAAAATCATTTTATTAACCTTTCCAGTATGGTAATGTCTGGTCATTATTTGGTAGCTGTTTATACAGTAATAATTTAATAACAGATACTTTCCTTTGTTACTTTAGGTAGCACACTTTTATATCTTTCCAAGTAACCATTTATTTGCTTATGTGCTGCATTGTCTTTTGACTGATCTTAAATTTAGGTGGTATCATGTAAGAAATTATGATGCAACTAGGTTAGGTCTAGATTAGATTTTTCCTCTATCTTTGACTTCACAGATTTCCTTTGTTTCCTTAGTCACTCTCAATATCCATTATCATAGCAGAGAAACAAAATTAACTCAATGTAATTAAATTATTAATTAATATGCAGAGTGTTTTGACGTATAGGATAGTCAGAAAACTACTGCTACCATTAAAAAGATCCAAAATCTAAGTCGCTTATGAAATAATGGCTTCATACTTGTACTTTGTGTATGATGTATAAGGCAGCCAATTTACAATATAAATTAAAGCGCTATATATAGACTACATTTGGTACAATGTGACGTTTTGTTCAAAATTCTAGCCAAAGCACCTACAATGAGTGCATGCATCCTTGCCCTTTTAAGTGTTAAAGCACTTCAAAAATGTTTGCTGCAAACAAAAGAGAAAATGGATGATTGGTCTATACTAGGACTTCGCAATCATTAACAGCTTCAGAGAATTATAGTTATGTCCGTCAACATTTTACAAAAACACACACAAACAAGTCACACTCATAACGAGGAATGACCAATAGTGAAGGACAAGTCAAGCATCATTCCCGTCATTTGGTTGTCTGTCATTTCGCTTCTCTAGCGACGCGTGACATCTGTTAGAAGGAGAAACAAGTACCTGGGAATCCTCTACGTTGAACAGCTCTAAACTATACCAAGATTCGTTTAGTGAAAATATAATTAAGCGTATCCATACTAGACAACTCCAATTTATTTTCGCATAAGGAAACTCTCATATGAACAAATTTTATTGTATATTTTCTACTTACTTTTTCATGAAGAATCACTACTTTTGTGGTCATATCACCTTTTATGAATGCACGGTTTTCTTTTTGCCATTGCCAAATTATAACAAATACATACATTACATAATTATTATGTAATTTGTTTTGTAAATTGGTTTGTCATAGTATACGAAGCACGTATGTATACAACCACTCTGAGCGTTATATGCACAAAATAGACTACTGCCATACTCAATTAATATTTGTATCGAATTAAAAGCAATTTAGTTAAATTAATATATATTAATTAGGGTGGTCCTTATTTCCACCTCCTAAATACATTGCAAATACATACAATAAAATTCCTGCAAAATTTAAGCTCTCAATTTTAACTTTAACGCGTGCCCCAAATCTTTGAAAGTTTTAAATGGAATACATGGAATTCAGTTACTAATTTTTTTAATCGACTTCTAAAAAGGATGGCTTGACCAATCGGGATGAAACCTTTTGCATCTTGTAGAGCATGTCTCCAGTTGGTCCCGTTATCAAGACATTTTGCGATTTGTCATTTTTTTTTACACGTTTTTTTTTTCGAATAACCGAAAAAGGTTGTACTGCTTCTTACTTCGAAACAGATGAACCAATCGAATTGAAACTTCTTGCATCTGGTAGAACATCACTGCCACTTGGTCCCATAAAATAACATTTGATCTTATTTTATTTTTTATCACACAAAGAGTACTATTTCACGTATGTTCGGCCTAACATCGATGAAATCGATGGTACTTTTTGCTGCCGGGCAGGTTTTCGCGATGGTCATATTTGCAAAAATTTATCAATTTTGTTATTGTTTATAACTATTGTTATTGCAGAATTTCAATTATATGATGTAACTCGGAGAGGAACTTGACCGATCGAGATGGAATTTTTCACATTTAGTGACTGCTGATTTCATGATGTTCTTATTTGAAAAAATGTATGGATTTCTTAATGTTTATAACAATTGTTATTGCAAAATTCCTATTCTTTGATGTAACTCGGCAAGGAATTTACCGATCGCGATGAATCCTTTCCCATGTAGTTGCACATGTATTCCTGATGATCCGATTTGTAACAATATACATATTGTTCATAACTATTGTTATTGCATAAAGCCTATTGGTTACAGATTGCCACACAAAAATCTAAATTAAATTACTTTTTGGGATAGAAAATATAACTGACTTCGAAAAAATATTAAATTGCACTAAAAAGTATGAAATAATTTCTAGTTATTTATATGAATACTCACCAGCTCTAGATATAATTGCTTAAAAGTATGAGAAAATGCATTGAAAAGTATGAAATAATTTCTGTTTAAATTGCATTATTGCTTACCAGCTCTTGATGAATTTGATTAAATTATTAAATACAGCGTATTAGATACAATGCAATTCTGATTGCTGTTAATGTATACATGTATACTGTTTATGTGGAAATACTATCTGCGTAGGTTTAGGATAATATTTAGTGAGGGCGGCAACATTGAATAGTGTTGATATATATGATGTCTAAAGCGGATATAATAATAGCAATAAGTAAAGGCCCAATTTTGATTCCTCTGACAGAAAGTTAAATCAAGTTTGGTAATTTTTTAATTTTTCGCCGCCTCTGAACAGGTTTCTTTGATTAAAAGAAAATGTAATCAAATTCATTAAAAGCTGGCGAGCAATAATGCAGTTTAAATATAATTATTTCATACTTTTTAGTGCAGTTTTAATGTTTTTTGAAATCGGTTATATTTTTTTCCAAAAATTAATCTTTAATTCCAATAAAAATAGATGAAATGATTTGAAATTTCGCAGAGTTATTACTTATAATAATAATAATAGGACCAAGCTCTGAAAATTCAAAATTTGTATCCTAATTATTTCCTTATATATCAGCCTAATAAATAAAAACCTATTTTTTTTAATTAAACTATTTTTATAATATTTTTTTTTTAATGTCTTAAAGAGAAACTTATTTATTATTTTTTATCAATTTTCCATAAACAAAAATTCTTTTCCTTTTATTTACTGGACTAATATATAAGGAAATAATTCAGATAAAAGTTTGAAATTTGTAGGGCTCGATCCTACTATTATAAGTAATAACTCATTCAAATTTCAAATCGTTTCATCAATTTGTATTGGGATAAAAGAAAAAAGAAATAACTGATTGAAAAAATTCCATGTATTTTCCATTTAAAACTTTCGAAGATTTGGGGCACACGTTAATGTTAAAATTGAGAGCTTAAATTTTGCAGGAATTTTGTTGTATATATTTGCAATGTATTTAGGAGGTGCGTGACGTAGATTTCAAAAATCATTGAAATAAGGACCATTCTAATGAATATATTTATATGTGTGCTATAACTACTTTGCTAATTTCAGAGTTACGAGGGATAGACAAGCAGAATTCTGTTGGATTTCTTGCACTTCTCGAACATTTACGTTACTTTGAAGTGGGAACGTTCTTAAAGTCTCCATCGTATCCTGTTTGGGTGTTGGGTTCAGACACGCACTTGAGCGTACTTTTCTCTTCCGAGAAGAGATTGGTGAGTCCCGAAACACCTGCTGAACAAGCTAAAAGGGTTTTCCGAAAGTTCGATCACGAAGGAAATAATTTCATTCCTGCTAATTTACTGCAAGATGTTCTTGCTGAACTGGGATTAGTCGCAGATGCAGAATAGTAAGTATTATTAATTCATTCCAGAAAAATAAGAAAAGAATTTGTTAATGCTTCATTTTTTAAGTTGGTATAATTATTATAGTCTACAAATCTATATTTCATATTTATATGAAAAAGCTGCGTACAGCGACACTTCTGCTTTTATTCAAATAAGATTTTATTATAATAAAATATTAATTAGTAGAGAAAAAAGTATTGACCCTTTTCGCTCTGGAGATTCTGTTACGGCTCCCAAACATAGTATATGCACCACAGCTCCACAGACGTCACTATAGTAACATACTAAACCGCGAGATATACTGTGATGAGACTGGAGAGTTAAGGGTTAATATTATACATTAATTTTAATATTGATTTGGCTATTACTGTTAATCGTGTAAAGCCCTTGAGACAAAGTTTAACCTATAATTTTATTTACAGCGTCGACATAATGAGGAAAAAATTGGATAGTGAAAATTTGGGAATTATTTTACGTTCTTCATTTATGGACGAATTCTTTCCCGAAGAAACAAGAACTTGTCCTGACATATTTCCCTTATATCATTATAATGGTCTTCAACGTAGCAACTACGAAAATAAAGTGATATATCGCAAAGGTCAAGCGGTATTATTAGAATGTACTATTAAGGGCATTTTGGAAAGCAATCCCATGCTGACGGTACTTCAAACAAAGTGGCCCAGAATTGAAGTTCAGTGGGATGGTGAACAGACTCCGAGCCTTAATTAATAAGTGTTGCTCAAATGGTATTTTTAACGATATTGTTGGAATTCCTGGACGCGGAAACCAGTGACTAAATTATAAAATGATTCGAAAATAAGTGCTATACTTATGACTACACGGAACTTAAACAGGAAGATGTCTTTGTGTTTAACGAAGCTAGAGGTGTTCAGTTATAGAACTAATTTACAATGAAAAGGACTTGTTAAAGATATTTAATACTAATTAGATATTATTTTTTAATTTTTAATTATCAAAATTCAATAAATTTTAATATGTCATTGCCACTGAAAATTCAAATGATTTGAATATCATGGAATGATTTCAGTTATTATAAAAGAAATTCAGTTCAAAACTAAATTCTGTGCTACAATTTAAAAGAATTTGAAGTATACTTTACATGTATATTTGATATTGTAGTGATTATGTTGTATTATCACAATTTGGGAAGAAATTTAACAATTTATGTAATACTATACCTTAGTTTATTTCAACATCAAATAAGTTATAGTTATTCGATTATGTTCATTTAAAGGAAGAAAAGGAACGTACTAATTAATTGAAACGAAAGGAGATTAAATAGTCAATGAGGATAAATGAAGGGACACGCAACGTTATTTACAAAACAAAAGTGAAGACGATAATAACAGGAACAAAAAATAATAAAATTAACAAGAAAATTTTTATTATTGAAACGTGATATTTATAAATAAAAACACGTTGAATGTAACGAGAAATACGAAAAGTGGTTAAGTGCAAAATAATGAAAAAAGTATAAAATATGTAACAAAGAAAAACTGAAATGTAAAAAAAAAAAACGAAAAAAAAGAAAATGTTGGATGAGTATGTACAATTCTGCATAAGTCGTACATAATCTAAATATATAATTTACTTTAAAGTTATAGTCTAGTCACTTTATAGGAGTTTTATCGATGGTTGTTACTATTCCTGTGTTCTAGGTCAAACAATGCATTTAGTTCTGAAATCAGTGTTGGTATTGTTTTGATCTTTTGGCTGGTGATACGTACAGAGTGACTCAAAATTATGAAAGAAATCGAAGCATGCAAGTTCCTCGTGGGGAAAAGGTCGAATAACCTACCGTTTTGCAACCTGAGAATCTCTTTTGAACATATAAGCACTTAAAGTTTTTACACATTGGTCAATTTTAACTACTTATATATCGAAAACGAAATTTCAGATTGCATGTTTCGACTTCTCTTACAATATTAGGACACTGTATATATGTATCTAATGGTGGAGCAATAATTGCTTGTTGTTAATAATGATGCTGGAAAATTTAATGATGCGAGCGACTGTTGGAAGGAAACCTTTGCTAATAAATTTTCGGGCATCGATGTGTATATGTCACCGAACAATATACAATGAATCCCGTCTAAGAGGCGTTGGCTCAGTTTCGAACTATCTCAGTTAGAAAGAGGAGTAGATGAAATTTAATTGCTATTTAATTAGTAAGACTGAAATCCAAAATCTCTAACACGTAACGCAAAAACATTTATTAAGAAAATCCACGAATACGATTAATTTTGCCCTAATAAGCTTCTGATCTTTTCTTAGACAGGATTTATTGTCCATAATAATAGTTGATTCCTGCTGTCCTACTAGTCCTTAAGCGACGCTTACGTCAAATTTTAAAGTGTTACAATTCAGAGCATATTCTATAATGTGAATACTCGCATCTAAAACAGTGTTATAATTTTTCTCATGAACGTGAATTTTATTTGAACACAAAGGGCACTTAAAGGCCAGTAGGGATCGAACTTTAGTATTCTACTTCGTTTGAAAAACAGGAAATTATCAAATTACGTAGGTACGTACAATTTTTGCAGGGCTGTACTAATTATTTCTGTTTTGACGGTATGTAATAATTTAAATTATTTGACAAAGCGGTTGATTTTGTTTTGCATGTAATGTATAAGTGAAGGTAAGTAAGTGTACAATCTGCTAAATTCGTATACATTGTTCACCTAAATTGTTTCCAATGTTAGTGGACCAATTTAGTTTAAATTTATCCGAAATAAATTTTAATATTAGAAAACCACGTAACACTTCATGGACTCTTCCTAAAGCCATACATCTCATGTGCAATGTTACCAAAAATATAAAAAGATTTATTTAAATGTAAATTAATGTCTCGCTTGTAGGAAACTTCGTCGATAAGAGAAATTATTCTGGTGATAAATCCTTCGATCACTTACTAACAGGATAACCCTTTCCTGATATTCAACCGACTGCCGCACAGCAGGTATATTATTTTCTCAAATATTAATGTTGAACATGTTCCAAACTATTAACTAAAAGCATCCAAAACTATGTTCCATAATCTTAGCATTTCAACTTCCGTTGTTATGCAAAAGCTCGTTTTATTTACATATCAGTAATTCTATTGGGGAAGTCTCTTTATAACTGCCGAGCTTTATATTTATATTGTTACTTTAAACACAGCTGAGTTACTCTAACTATTACAACTACTGTCTCCTAAAGGATGCAGGCTGCTTACAGTTGCGAACATAAGGATAATTAGTAAAGACTGATAATATTTTTCTACAATTCATCTGTTAAGATATTCCATGAAAAATAGTTCAAAATAGTTCTGTTGCGACTAATGTCTAGGCATTATTCAATCAAGAAGTTAATGTTCTGTTATATTAATGTGCTTATTAAGGTCATTCTTTTGACTTAAAGAATGACCTCCTCATAAAAGATCTCGAAACATGTAAAATTCTTGACACTGTTAAAAGGCTACTGTCAACCTAATATTTGTTTCTTCTACATACGAATTTACGAGTGGTCGTTCTAATGTACAGAAAAGAATGTTCAGGAACGTTATGCAAAAAAGTTACATATCAAGTAATTGAAAGTAATTAATAATAATAATGGATACCCTGCTGCATTGTAGTATTAGTCTAGGAATACTTTGCCAGTAATATTTTAATCGAGTCACTAACATCGGAAATAATGAAGATGATACGAATGTTACAATAATATGAATTGGTTCATTCTGCATTTGCAAACGAGAAAATATTTATTAGAAGCATGTATATTGTTGAAGTTAGTACAACCCACTTTTTAATGTACGCATGTTGAGTAACGCTTAGGTGAAGCAAAACGATACAAAGTACATCGGCGATCATACCTATTAAAAATATGAATTCATTATTGAAAATTTCATTGCTTTTGGGTCCCATGTCAGCTATGCGATTCTAATAGTTAAAGGTCATACTCTCACACATAAGTCGTGCATAATGATAAATATTTGCGTAAAATTATATAACTAATAATTACTATTAATTAACCGCCGTAATTAAAAAGGATTAAAATACTGCTATTGAAAGAATTATATTATATTACATAAACACACCAAGGTAAATTTCATTTTTCCGTGATGCCTCCACCTAGAATGCAAATATTTTCATCATCTAATGCACTCAGTGTAACCATATTATACCATGGAAACAGTTTTTGAAGTAATGGGAACAGAGGAAGTATTCTATACAATAGACGGAATAATTTGCAGATCATTTTGTGTTTTAAATAAACTATATTATCACATAATTATAGTCGGGTTGAGAACTGTATTTAAGAATTTTATAAAACAAATATATTTATTTACTATTCCTCTTATTACTATTATCATCGTTAAAATCATCGCTATAATTTATTTTATTATTATTAGCTGAGTTCTTGATGAAGTTATTAAACAAAACGCAAAGATTTTGAAGAAACTTTGTGAAATTTATAATGCTTTTCTAATTATTGTTAAGTAGTGCCAAGAGACCAGATGATGGATTGAAGATTTTATAAAATCTATCGTGACAAGTGCATTTCAAGAAGATGCGTCAGTTCACGTTAGTACTACCTGTTTCTCTACATTATTCAAGTAAAGCTCTCATTAGCTCTGATTTAAATGTTACAGAAATTATTTTTTTATGAATTAGAATTATTGTAATGGAAAAGATTGAGACTACATTCGTAATATATATATTTATTTATTTTTGTATTATATTACACTTGTACACATAGGGTATGCTCGTTTTGGACGCTTATGTACTATTTAGAATCATTCCCTTTGGCTTCTCAGCACTTACACTCGTACGTGTGGCAAAATGTTGGATACACACAAAATTACTTTTTTTATACTTAAGAATACCGTAACTAAAAACGCCAATTATGAACCCTGTTAATATTATTACTTTTATTACACTGTTTGTTGTATGTAATGTTATTGAAGTACAAAAAAGTGTATAAAATATTGGATGTACATATTAAATTCATTCTAACCATATGGCAAAACACAGTTAATAAATAACAGTGGTATTTGACTTAAATAAACAATTTGAAGGTGATATTGACAGAGTATTGTCCCCATCATGCAACCTATCACATATCATTTTCCTTATTGCAAATGTATGAATTTGCTATTTTATATAAATTTAATTGAAACGTACGGGTTGGTAGTGACTCTTTAACTACTGTACCTCAACGAAAATAAGTATTTAACGTAATCGAAGTTTACAAGCACTATCAATGCATAAGGGTTCAAAGCGAACCCACCTTTATTCGTTTACCTGTTAAATTTGTGTGTACTGTTTATTTGTATTTTTACGTTCCTGTTTGTAGTTAATGTTACAAGTAAGCAATTCTGTTAAATAATCAGAAAAGTGCAAGATGTCAATAAGAGTATTATATCATTTCGTAACTTAGATATATTAAAGTGTTGAAAAATATAGTAGTAAAGAGTAATTTGATAAAAAATTAAGAGTAAGAAAACCAAAAGGTCCTTAACAGATTCAAAACCAGAACCTTACCTTGAACCATTGATGTCAGCCTTACATTCATCGTTACTATTGAAAATGAAGCGAAATTTGTTCCTACATCCAGGATTACACAATTAAAAAAATGATAACCAAACTTATAATTTTATATCATATTGGTATATGATGATATTTTCACAATAATGGCTAGCCAACTAGTATACTGTATATTAAACAGCATTCTCATAGTCATCAGCCCCTATGATTTAGGCTCCATCCCTGTACGCAATTCTCTCATTTGAATCGTAAACCTTCTCAAAGATTTAACATATACCAACTAAACACCATTGTAATAAATCACAGCACCACCAAAGGTAACGAAAATACATTCACTTTTCTACGTGGAAGTTGTGTTTTAAGCAATATATAATATGTTAACTCATATCTTACAAGTTAAAACACTTTCGAAATACAATCACTTATGTTTTTATAGCTTTCAAGGAATTCATAATTAATATTGTACTGATTTCAATAAATTAGTAATAAAAAATAAGGAAAACACTTTAAAATAAACCTATTATAATTATACATCGTTAACTAACCGGACTATCATATTGAACGAAATTTAATACTTTCATAATTATTGAAAATATTATAGATCTAAGTGGGATATTTTGTACATTTCAATAACATTGATATTCATGATTACTTCGAAATATATACCTGTCAAGTCGTACATTATTTCTTTTTTTTTTTTAGATGACAAAATTATCGCAACAGTTACGTATACAATACACTCTGCAACAATCACATTGTAATTCTTACTACATTCCAACTGACGGAGTACCAGTATACACCATTTCGCCTGCTCTTGTTTGGAATATTATCGATAACGATATCTGTACTAGTTCTTCAATTACATTAACAATTAATAAGTAGTACATATGTCAAACCTTTCTTTTACGCAACTTTGCTTTTGCTTCTTGCAATAGAAGGTCGAACGTATTGTCCTCGCTGCCCTGTGATTTGTGTGCACTATTAGGAGAACTGCTTGCCATACCATCTGTCAGAAACAATGTACCGTATTTAAAATACCGAGTTTAGCTTAAATCGAACTTTATTATATTCAATTAAACACAGAACGCGATGTATCGTGAATAATTTGTTCTTACCAAGATCAGCATATTTCACTTTACAAAATGCTCGACGGCCCCCGAAACATAAATCATATCTGGGTAAATTTCGATCATCGTTACCATGTTCTACTGCTTCGTATGCGTCATTTTTATATGCAAATGTTACAAAACCGTAATTGTCACTAAAACGTGACGAAAAAATTTAGATTTTTACGTTTTTAGGAATACAAGATAAACTTACAGAACATCAAAACACTTACCCATGTTCACGAATATGTATACTAATGTCTACGATAGGGCCGAAAGTTTCGAATCTTCGGCGCAAATCAGCTTTAGTAATTCCTTCGTCTAAACGACCGACATAAATCACCCTTCGTTCCTCCACTTGTCTTTGCTTTTCTCTGTCACACCAATCGTATGATTTCCGGTAAGAGCTGGACGGAGATCTAATACAATTAAAACCATGAAATTTCATTAACTGCAATTTATTTTGTTGAAAATTTCTAAATTCGTCAGAACAATTTTTAAAAAATATCTCCTTACAGAGAATGACAAAGTGAAGCTTTTTTATATTTACATTTTATTTTATTTACTCGACGTTTAGTTTCAAAAATAAAAATAAAAAACTTAAAAGTCCTTTCTCCCAAAATTCTCAAATTCAAATCTCATTCATTTTATAAGAATAACTCCTCACAAGGTCGTCTGAAGGTCAACATATTGTACATGTTTGAATTTGTCTTTTTATGAGCTATAAGAATATAATAATGAAAATATTCAATCCTAAAAAAAATGCCAATGACCTTGAAACCTGGAAAAAACGACCTTTAAGAAAAAATGATTTCGCCATCCTTGAAACAGTGTAACTTTGTTCTCTAAATTTTTTCGTAAAAATTTTATTTCGTAATTTTAATTCGTAATTCGCATCACCCTGTATACATATACATATGTATATTGACTTTGTATGATCAGCCCAGCTGTCTGACAAAAGAAGGCACGGATGTGGAAATCGCATTTGGAACGATACCCTATAGAGGTGTAGTACGTACAGTCGGTCATGAAAATATTCGGACTCCATTATAGTTCTGATTATTATAGTGCATACTTCAGAAATTTATGCATTAAGAACAAAAAAAGGTTTCGCGTATGTTACTATGCAGTGTGTAGTTAACCAAAACATAAAAGATGTTTATTTACAATAGGTGATTACATAAATAATAAAAGAAAAATTAAAAGTACGCTCATTTTCATGTCACGAAAATATTCGGACACTATCAAAACTAAGTTTATAACATTATACGTAAATCTTGTTTTTAGAAATTAATATTTAGTTGGATATCCCATATGCTTTATGACGTGCCGCAATCGCGTTGGCATATTATAAATTATTCTTTTTAAATAATATTGCCCAATACGTAGCCATTCTTCTTACAGACGTCTTTTTAGTTCGTCCTGTGTGTTTATGGGGGTTATTCGAATTCGGCGATCTAATTCATCCCATAAATTTTCAATGGGATTTAAATCTGGCGATTGCGGTGGTGGGTGGAGGACGTTCTTGCAAGTGTATAGTAAGAATTCTTGAACAATATGGGATTTGTTTTGGATCGTTATCCTGATAAAATTTGATTCCGCTTTGCAGTCCCATGTTATCAGCACTTTTTTTAAAATTGTTTTGCAAAATGTGCAGGTACCTATTTTTATCGAGGATGTCGTCGATAAAAACTAATTCGCTCTTGGGCCAAAATACATCCCCACACCCATCACAGACCCATCACCGTGTTTCACAATCGTTTGAAATGTCTCGGATTTAATTCTTCTCTCGATCTCCGCCATACCCTAATTCTTCCATCGCTTCCATAAATATTAAATTTTGCCTCGTCCGCGAAAATTACGTCTTCCCACCACTGACTCTCCTTTGAAATATACACTAGCTGTCAAAAAAAACGGGACACTATTTTAGAACGTCATAACTCCGAGAGTTTTCAACCGATCTTCGGGAAACTTCGTGAGGTTTAGTTTTGAAGTGTTCTCTGGGTGTGTGCAAAGTTGCATTGACGAGGGTTGATGAGAAAGGGTTAATTCACCCCCCCACCCACCCCTAAATGGGTAATGCAGAATAACGGCACTTCAAAGGAAGCGAGTTTTTAAAAAAATCGACATTTTCGAATTTTATTGCCATTCACGCGGGAAAAAGACATAAAAACTGTGTCGCACCGATGCCCTGGACTGTTGGACATGTGAGCCACGCAACGAAACAACGTTCCAACCCTTAGTTGGGGGTGCACCACCCCTACCTTTGCCCCCCTCCCTTCAGCTCTGGGGGCAGTTTTCGAAACAGGACCTTTTCGGCATTCATCCTTAACGTATCGAGAACAAACATGGTGAATTCCATCGCCCTGCGATGTGTGGAAGTGCTCCGCTACGAAGGGGGTTGAAAATTTGCGAGCTGTTCCACCCCCCCCCCCCAAAAAGGGTGCCTGTGGGGTGCACGGTATGGGTGATAGCATTTTCTGGATCAGGGGAGTCCAGAGAATGCATTGAGCTCTAAATCGAGACTGTAGTCCAAAAATTGTGGATTTTAGGGGGAGTGGGTTTGTCCGAGAGCAATTTCAAGAGGTGCATTTTGTAGGCGGTATCAAACAGAGTCGCCTGAAAGGTTTTTTTGATTTTTTCACCACCTTCCGTCGCCCCTGGACCCTTGTGAAGTGCCGTTTTTCTGCATTACGCCTTTAGGAGGGGGGAGGGGGGGATGAATTAACCCTTTATCATCAACCCTCGTCAATGCTACTTTGCACACACCCAGAGGACACTTCAAAACTAAACCTCACGAAGTTTCTCGAAGATTGGTTGAAAACTCGCGGAGTTATGACGTTTTAAAATAGTGTCCCGTTTTTTTTTACGGCTAGTGTAGTTTCTTGCAACATTCAGTCTCTTCGTCCTGTTCTTCGCGTTAATATACGGTTTTTTTTCGAGCTATTCTTCCATTATAGCCCTCTGATCGTAACACTCTTCTTATGTTTTCCGGATGCACTGACATTCCACGATCATTATTTATTTCAGTTGCTAACTTTGGAACATTTATCCGAGGATCACAGTTAATTCTCCTAATTATGGCGTTTATCACGAGTATTGAGGATCGGTTTGCGTCCGCTTTGAGGGATAGATTCAATTCTATCTTCATTGTTGTAACGTCGCAGAATATCCCATACCGTGCTCTTACTAATATTTAATAAATCTGCAATTTTGTGAATCGATTTCCCCTTCTCACGATAAAAAATTACTAATTGTCGCATATCAAACGCCGTGTTCTTACTTTTCCGACTCATTCCGTACAAATTTTGAGCAAGACTGACAAATATTAGATCTCTAACGTACTCTGTACATAGTAGGAACGCTATGTTTACAAACACTGTTTCAGTCAGTTCCTGGAACCTGGAAATTTGAGAAGTACAGCAAGTGTCCGAATATTTTCGTGACATGAAAACGAGCGTACTTTCCATTTTTCTTTTATTATTTATCTAATCACTTGTCGTAAATAAACATCTTTTATGTTTTGGTTAACTACACACTGCATAGTAACATACGTGAAACCTCTTTGTTCTTATTGCATAAATTTCTGAAGTACGGACTATAATAGTCAGAACTATAGCGATGTCCGAATATTTTCGTGACCGACTGTATGTAGTACTGCAAAACAATTTTGGCTTTTTTCAAAAGGGGCCTCCGTTTTCGAAGTATTTTGGTTTAAAGTGTTTTGTATGTGTTCTTGAGGGGTCATATACGGTTTTCAGTAGTAAAATGTGCTCAATGTTTGCAAAAGATTTGAGGGAAAATTATTAAGCCATTTGGTTTAATTCTTTTTGTAACATAAAAGTACATGCTTATACAGTAGTAAACCCGCATGAAAAAGTATAAATTGCCCTCTAAGTACGTTGTAATAAAACAATTTTTTGGACGTCACCGCTAACGGTGGGCGTGATTAAACTTGTACAAATGATCTCAATCAAAAATTATCGATTTATTTACACTTTCTCGTACCGTAGTTTTCGGTTGACGAGAGGATTTTTTAAAAAACAAAAAATTATGGTTGTAGCAACGATTCGAAGGCAAGGATCATGATTTCCGTATAAAAATCCATACATTATTATTTGCTATTAAAAAATGGTATAATTTATTTAAAAAACTCTTCATTGACCGATAAATAATTTTATTTAGAACATGTATGTAAAAGATAAAGTCAATCGGATAAACGGTGAGGCATTCCCCTCCACCGCCCTAAGAAATACTATTTCGAAAAAAACGCGTTTAAAGTTTTAGAAGAGTTTAGAGTTTGATAAAAGAGAAATTTTGTAACTCATCCTCAATCTGCAATAGTGACACCATAAAGTTGAGCTTCCTATGCAATGTGACACATGCTGCACGCTGCATTGCCAATGCTAACATTTAATGTGTCCAAAATTTTCAATAAAGACATGTGCCCTTCATTGAGTATTAATGTTGCAACGTATGCAGCGATTTCAAGAATGGTAGGACCGCTACATGTTTATTTTGGATCGACCTTCCATGAGAGCATTCAGACTCTCATTAGAGTTTCTTTTCCACGATCTGCGGATCTAGCAGCCCTAAACAACGCGTATCGTGGGGAACATACAATTTTCTACGGTTTTAGATCGGGGTAATCACGGATACAACTCCCCGTACATTTCAAAAGTCAAATCAAACAAGGACAATCAACGCTCTAACCCGCTGATACGTGATGTAACGCGACTTGTTCCATATACACGACTGTAACTTTGTAAATAATTCGAATTTTATGTTCGTTGTAGGCGTAAAATATTTCTACGACGTGAACTTGTAAAAGTATATAATAAAAAAAAATCGATATTTTGAAGTGGAGAAACGTATATGACCCCTTAAGAAATGTATAATAAAAGCATCTATAACAAGATTCATTGGGTTAATTGATAAAGTATTAGGTTGTAACGCTGTTGGCCCGGATTCGTGTCCCAATAGATTTTTCTTTTCAATTTTGTATGATAGAAATTTACTTTTTATATATTATGTACTATATACTGTATATTATGTATTACCTTACGCTTATTTCAAGGTTGAAATTAATTTTTAACAACATATCATGGAGAAATACCTACTTGCTACACGCTGATCTTCTAATACATATATACAGTGATGAATGTTTCTAATAAAAATATTAATTTGGCGGTAAAAATACACATCGTACGGTTGTACTAACGGTGTACGTTTCAGAGATATCACTGCCAGTTTCCAGTCATTACTATATTCATGATCTGCTTCATTAAATATATCATCATAAACGTCTTCCGCTTGAGCCCCCCCCCCCCTCCCACAAATCTCCGATTAATAAAAATTGATTACAATCTACATACTTCTTTAAAACTTCGCGTAGATACATCGCATACAAACATTTTGTTAATTTTTGCCGAGATATGTTATGTTAAAAATTAATTTCAACCTTAAAATATGCGTAAGGTAATATATGTATAATATACAGTATATAGTACATAATACATAAAAAATATATTTCTATGATACAAAATTAAAATAAAAAACAACTATCGGGACACGAATAGCGTTACAACCTGATACTCTACCAATTGACCCAACGAACCTTAAGTGTTTTTATTATACATTTTTTAAAAACACATACACAAAACTTTAAATCAAAATATCTTGAAAACGAAGGCCCATTCTGAAAAAAAGCCAAGATGGTTTTGCAGTACTACATGCGTACTACAACCTCCATAGGGTGTCGTTCAAAGAGCGATTTCCCCATTCGTGCCTTCTTCTTGTGAGCCTATTTTTCGAAGACGTATACACGCTCTTTGCAATCAAAAGGTTAAATATACTCCACCCCAAGATTTCTTAACCACTGGCACGCAGGTTCTCCCAAAGAGTAATCAGAAGTGTTGGTGTCAGATCACCGACAATCGTTTCACCGACAATGTTTACATCGACGCCGTTTCATCGACAAGTTCAAGTCGCCGACAATGTTTACATCGACACTGATTTCACTGACACAATCAATTCAACGACATTGTTTTCGTCGACACTTATTTCACCGACACGTAATTACTTGTAATTTCACCGACAAAATTACTTGTCCACAGTCAATTTTCGTTTAATTTGTATAGTTTACGTTCATTGTTCATTCATCATGTATTTACTTTGTTTACAGAAAAGTAAAAAATACTTCTATTTATTTTAATTATTCACCTATACTAAAGTATATTTGTTACATTCTTATGTATTTATTAACCATGTACGATAATTAATAAAGTTAAAGAGCATAAATGAAACATAATAATATTCCTCAATTGCCATCCCTATTTCCCATACAAAGGAGTGAGTAAAACTATTAAAAAAGTTATTTTTAAGACTGATCATATATGTATATACATATATTAAAAATCGGTATCGGTGAAATCCGCGACGGAAACAATGTCAGCGAATTGAACGTGTCGATCAAATAAGTGTCGACGGAAACAATGTCGGTAAATTGATCGTGTCAGTGAAATCAGTGTCGATGTAAACATTGTCGGTGATCTGACACCAACCCAATCAGAAAGGGTAATAAAAATTCCATCGGTTAGCATAAATACATATGTGTTCACTGATCACGCCAAACGCATTGTGTGGATTATTGATGAACAAATAGAATTTTTGCCTACTCCAGCCGAAACCCTCAAGGACTGTAGCTATGTCTGATTGAATATAGTTACAGTACGGATCTAGCGATCTCGAGGTACCCGAGTTTTTAGAAGGTTAGAAAGTCCTGTTCTAGCCAAATTTAAATGCTTTTATCAGCATCGTTGGATTTATGTAGCTATAAACGATCTTTGTTGCATCGATAAGTATCGTTAATACTAATTATATACCTTCTCCAATCTTTGTAGCTACGGTAACTGCTTGAGGAATGTCGTCTCTGCCTGTCGTAACTTCTACGATAGCGTCTTTCCTTTTTCCGGCGACTCGACCATTTACTTCTTCCGAAATTCGAATGAGACGACGATCTAGAATTACGGTTTTTGTAATGTTTTCATAACAGTGCTTTCATGTTTTTTTTTTTTTGTTTGTACATTTTGTAAATATGTACCTTGAACAACTAGAATATCGAGAGGAACATTGGGACCTTGATCTGGACGATCTAGAACGCGATCGCGAGTATCTCGATCCTGAACTGAAAGTAGATCTAGTATTTGAACGCGAACGTGAGCGAGATGACCAAGTACTACTTGAACTGACAGAGCTACGACGATGGCTTATTCTTCGATGACGTGTATTGCTTCGTTTACGTGATCTGCTTCGACTACTACTACTTCTACTTCTGCTTCTGCTTCTGCTCCTACTTTTACTCTTACTTCTCGATCTAGAACGACTTGATCTAGAATTAATTCTTTGTTTTGTATAAGGTCGTTGGCTTGTATTTAGAATATGCTGATCTCTGAAAATTATTCAGAATTTTTATTGAATAATATTCGTTCGATGCAAATAAATTATTTAGTACAACGAATATACTTAACAAATACGCATTTGTTTAATGTTTACCTTTCCTCCACGTGCCTTTCATCGACATCAATTAAAGATTTTGGTGGAAATTCAAATACAGTTTCATAAGTTTGTATTCCTACGTCACAAGTGGGAGGTTTTGGACGAAGTTTTTCCTCATCTATGTCTGCTTTTGGTTTTAAAACTGATACAATTTCTCTTTCCGACCATATTAGAGTTCCAGGATCATCTTTGATAGGTTCAGTTGTAGTAGAAGCATGATGAACGTATATCAATGTCATAGGTTGTATTGGTGAATTTGTTCTACTATTATCGCTACGATTTTGTTCCCTTCTACTCCTATATTCTGCCAAATTTAATTTTCTACGAGGTTTCCTCTCTTCTTCTTTTGGAAAGGCCTTTTTAGTATCTTGAACAATAATGTTGTGTACTTTGTCATTTGACCCATTAGAGATAGTTATTATACTTTCATTAGAGGTAGTCATTACAACTGGTAGTTGTGTATTAAGTGGTTTCTTTAACACGGAAACCATTTGTGTTGTTTTCTGATTCCCTTTTGTTTTATTTAAAACACCCTTTTGTAATTGCAAAATACTTGTCGCTAAAGCTGAACGTATTTTTATTTCTCGCGTCAATTTATTTAAAGACTCGTTGTGTACTTGATTAGTACAGTTTGATGTATTACTTGAAACATTAATATTTTGATCATTCTCATGTTCCATTGGAGGTTCTTCTTTAATTTCATTTTGTAATTTTACCGATCCACTGACTTGAACATCATTAGATACTGTAACATCTGACTCTTCCTTATTATTTACTTTGCTTGATTCTAAATCACTATCTTTTCTTGCAGTGTCTTCAGTCGAATTTTCTCTCCTTTTGATTACAGGTTTGTTCAAATGCGATGAAAATGTTTGTTTTAGATATGCTGTATAAAAATGAGATGACTGCCAGTTATTATCCTTAAATGCAGTTACTTTTTCACTGTCACTAGATTGTCTTTCATATTCACTGTTACTATCTGAACTACTGGAGCATGAATTACTACTACTACAATAATCGTGATCCAAATGGACTAGTCCACCATCGACAGTTTTACTTTTGGTATTGTTTGTTACCTAACATAATAAAATAGTTATTATTTATGTTTCTGGAAAAAGTATCATTCATGTCATTTAATTGTGTTTAGCACATTGACTGCTAGTCCTGTTGGACGAAATAATTCTCGATGTCATTCTTTGCATAAACGCTAGCTATGAGGCAACTTTGTTATTTTTACTTGGCAGTCAACGTCTTAAACATGAAAAAAAGGCGTTACTAATCAATTTGTATACTTAACTATTTTCAGAAGCTTGTTTCGAGAAAGTGTTGCCGCGGCATCTTGCATGCGTGTTCCATTGCTGCGACCACTACTTTGGCGATTTGACATTGTTGGTATTATTGAAATTACCTTTTTACGCCCAGACGTCTAACAAATATGAAATGATTATATTACAACACATTCAAAGTTAATTTAATTTTATGCTTAATAAGATTTTCTTTTATCCAGGAGAAAAATGATCGGACTATCAATTACTGTACAAAGATTCAAACTCGGATTATTTAGGGCATCAGCAAATTATTCTCTACTAAGTTTTATACCCCATAACATCCCCCACCTATGTTTGTAATAATTAAGTCTTTGTATAATTACCTTTATCTTCTCGATAACTCCTTTAGGTTGGGATTCTCTAATATTTTTATGTAAATTTGAAACTTGCGATAATTTCTTTGCTATTGTAATTCCAGACTGTTTCATACGTTGCTGAATCTTAGTAGGTTTCATGTGTAATTCTTGTTTACATTCTGTACTAATTTTGGTAGATCTATGAGATGATACTGCAGTATTTTCAGAAGCTTCAAACTGTTCTAATAAACTTTCAACAGTTCCAGCTTCCAAAACTATAATAACAAATATTAATCAGCCTTGGCCCATTTTATGTTTGTTTACTTAAAACACCTCTAGATGTAAAAGACATATCACCTGGTAAATGATTTGAAATAGATTTTTTATTAAAATTATTATTCTTTGTATTTTTATTACGTTGTATCAAATTTTCTTTCTTCTTTTTTTTTTGCTTTACTAATACATTCGCAGTGACATTGATTCCTATGTTGTCACATTCCATTTTATTTTGTTTATTTGTATATTTAGGCTCTTTAAGTAGCGATTTAGATTCTCCTTCTACTTTCTTATCGCTCTTCATAATGTCACTTTTGTTATGATATGAATTTTGTTCTCTTGTGTCTTCTATAGAAAATGTGAATTTGCATTACAAAAGAGATAACTGTTAATTGAATAACATTAATATAAACTTAAATTAAATAAACCTATATTTGTACTACGGCTTTCTAATTCTTGTATACTCTGACTGCTTCGAAGGGACTCCTTCCCTAAATTCTTTTGATTTGTTTTTAAATAATTAGATTTTCGAGTTAGTATAGATTTCTCATCTTGAAATGCATTCTCTGAAATAGAAAAGCTCTTTCTATCTGTAGTATTCGTGTTTAATTCTATTACATCCATATATTCATCCATGTCTGTGGCCTAAAAATGGGTTGTGTAAGTTTCATTCTACAAATAAGAAATAATATATCCAAATATTAGTACTACCTGTAAATAGCCAATATGTTCTTGCCAATCTGTAAGAACTTTAGCAAAATCTTCTTTAATATTATCAATTTTAGAAATTGTAGGACTTTCTGAAATTGATACGTCATCCACGTCTTCTGTATGTCTGAAATACATAATATCCGTTAAAATATTTTATACTGAAAATTTGACACAATAAAACATAAATTTACACTTACTCCTGTTCATTGCTCCATAAACTATCAGAATTTGCAATGTCAAGATGTGTTTCCATATAATCAAAATCATTTTCAACCATGTGCATTAATAAATCTTGAGGTTTATCCATTAAATTCTGTTAAAAGTGATATATTTTACAATACTTAGAATAATATAATTTACGAATAGAATGTACTTCATGAATATACCACACACAAAATTTACACTCATGAATCATTAAAAAACTAGGAATACAACTTTAGACAAATTTTCCTTGTATCATACCTTAAATAGCTTAGTAATTTAATATAAGATATAAGTAAGCTAGAATACAATAAACTGCTTAGTCTATAATCTTGCATCAAACTTTAAGAAATTCATTTGTATCGTACAAAAACAGTGAACTAAAAATTCATTTACAGTTTCAACATAATTGATAGATGTAGTAATACCGAAGTATTATTGTATATATGGATTGCATTTACATAGACCAAGTAACATTGACATTATAAACATAGATATGTATGAAGCATACTGAATAAGCTGAAGCTTATTAATTTCTTTTTTAGAGATTAATATATAAGAATTAATTTTCCTCCGACTATATAAATGTTTATAACATATTATATGATGACAATTTTTAACAACTTCACAAGAATCATGTTTGACAGAAGGATGTACCATGGATAGATGATTATTATAAATGTAAAAAGAAATATGGAAAGTTTATGAACTAAATAGACCAATGGAAAGATACAAGATAAGACTGTAGAACTATAATGTTGAACCATGCATTCTATACTTTAGAATTTATTGTATCAAAGTAACTTTTAAAAAATTACTCGCAAGAATATAATAAAGTAAATACAGAATATGATTTTCTTAAATTTTCATAATAAACATAGATACTTTATATTATAGAAAAAATAGATATTTTTCGAACCATATTTTGCTGTTTTACTAAACTATGCAAGAATTTAAACAGGGCTAACTTGCACACATTCACAGATTCAACAATAATAATTAAATAAACACGTTACCTGATCTAGAGATAACGAAAAATCTGAAAAGTGTTCTTCATCACGAAAATTTAAATATCCTGTTTCCATGATATGATTCAAATACTTGAATGAAACGATTTCTTGTATTATTAGTCTGTAATTGAAAGTATCGATAAGAAAATAAGTGAGAAATTTAACAAAGCGAGACGAAGCAGCCACGCGTTTACTTAAGGTTATGTTTGAGACAATGGTAGTGTGACACGAATTTGATATAAATATATTGGAATATAACACAACTTGGATTACTTTATTCTTAACATATTAAACACATATAGAAACAATAATAAAATACACTTCACCAGAAAACATGAAATTTGTACTTATTACCGTGAGCAAATGTGATAATGCTAAAGATCGACAGACGCGAGATACCGTTACTCTCGATATACAAGAATTTAAAACACGTTGTCACATAACTACACTTCACATTCATAATACAGCGTGACGTATTAATGAAAACTCGAATTTATAGAAATGCTTTAATTAATCGCAACTACCATTCGATTTTAAATGTATATTTCCGAGCTTCGTTCTTGGGAACGACTTACACTTGCTCACACTTGCTCATGAGTTCACATATACACATGCATATGCATGCAATAACTAACCATCAACCATGTGCACGTGTACCTACGCGAGTAGAAGAAAGCGTAGGACATACATATATTATATATAATTCCTCAAGACGCAACACCTCCGCGTATTTCATACAGTTATTAAAAGTCAACCTAAAGTTTTTGGATTTGAATACTGCAGTTATTGAGAAGATTCTAACGATTACGCTGATATTAGCGATACGATTATTATTTGTCACGTGTTTGTATGTATTAGTACACCAAGTGAGCAGCATGTGTCACTTGCTGCACGCTGCCGATCGACGGATGATCACTTACATGCCTAAGTTAAGAATTGCGCATATAAATAACGCATCTTCGTGTAATACTACACTGCAGACAGTATCACGAGCAATTTTTTGCTTTCACATGCGATTCCAATATTGTATACTTACTCAGCATATACAAGCAGCCACGCACACGTGATCGAAACGTCCGTAAACCCTTATCCCGGTGTCATCATGCGCCTGCATGCGCCCTAGCTTCCGCAGGTAACGCACCCGCGATGCACCAGTATTTTTCTATGTTAGTCGACCAGAATTGACCGCAATCGTCTGGTACTAGAGACCACTAGAGATGGCTGTAACTCAGTAAATGCTTTCGCAACTATTACGACTTTAAAATCCATTTGTAAATTTAGTATAACGTAAAATAGGCTGTCCCTATTAGCGTCGTCTGAAACATAATAACAGATCAAGTCGAATTGTTACGGTATCGTAAAAAAAATTGTTTTTATTGCGATATCTAGAGACGCGGTATCGTCTCGACGCCAAGTACATGAAAAATTATACGCCACCACGTATACCTGGCGCTGGAACTACCGCGTATCTTTTACTCGTAAACCGGCTATTCCAACCTTACCTGAAACTTCTTCCATTAATATCTCATCCCGCTTGCAATATTTTCTAAATTTAACGGCATTTTTCTAATGTAAATCGCATATAAGCTTTCAAATAAAACCAAAATCAATAAAATCGGTTCACGTACAAGTGAGATATAGTAATATAATGTCATTACGGTATTTTTCGTATGATTTTCCTTTCATCAACCCTTAGCCAATAGAAGTTAAGCTAAAGCCGAGTGTTCGTTCGTCAACTCTCGGAATCATTCGGTTTGGTATAGCTCTTACAGACCGTGGTCGAAACAGATGTCATCATTCATAACCTGCCAAGTGTCAAAAGTTTTTACACTATTGCGTTATTAATTATATTTATATCAGCAAAATGTTTTCAATTTAGACTTGTTATACAGGGTGTTAACAAGTATGTGGGACATTTGTTCAGGATGAAGTCTTCGTGCCAGTATAAATGATAAAGTCTCTTGCCATTTTGCGATCTGAGGCTTCGTTGTCGAGATATCAGCGGTTGAAATTTACAGGTGTGACTTCCGGGGCGGGCTATTTGAATCCCTGTCAGCTGAACGCGCGGTCGCACGTGGACACACTCACACAGGAGAAAGACGCACCGATGCACACTCACATGCGTCATTCGTCCGACGACACTGCACCAAATGGACTCTCGCGAAGTTTAATACATTTTTATACTGGTTTTATACTGTTTACAATAAATGTTCAAAATGTCCGCCACTCTCTCCTATGCATGTTTTTAGTCTTTTTTAAACAAATTCCGGATTTTTTCAAATATTTCCGGTTTTTCTCCAATTTCCACACAAGCGTCCATGATACATTGACGAAGAGTATTCGTGTCAGGAAAGTCACCTCTGTACACTTTGGATTTTAAATAACCCCACACAGAAAAGTCTAAAGGATTTAAATCCGGGGATCGGGCAGACCATTCCGTGTATCCTCGACGGCCTATCCACCTGTGTGGGAAAGTTTGATCCAGACGTCGCCTCGCAATTGCACTGAGGCGAGCCGATGCGCCAGAAAAATGTGTGGTCCAATTAATCTGTCTTCAAGTACACCCAACCACAGATTTGTTCGAATTTGGTGTTGGAATTTATTTGTTATTATTGCATGCGGGTTTTCATTCTATTAATCCTTTCTATGTAAAACTCGCCTCGTTCGTAAATAGTATATGACCCACGAACGTGTCATCTTCTTCGCATTTCCGTGCAAAACGCCAATCGTCGCGGATGATTTGTGACTAAAAGTCCTTGAACTCCTTGCCAATGTTATGGATGTAGGTTCTGATCTTTCAAAATTTTCCACGCAATTACATGTGACATATGTAATTGCGTGGAAAATTCTCGTGTACTCGAGGACGGATTGTCATCAATTGCGCGTAGTATCCGTTCTTCATTAGCAACAGTCCTTTTTCTTTCAGGTCGTCCTACATTTTCTCCACGTTACGCGTACTTTCCGTCGCTTCGCAAACGTCCACTAAACGTTGAAACGTTTTTTTAACCGACTTCGAAAAGGAGAAGGTTACTTAATCCGACATGTATCCCCCCCCCCTCTCTCTCTCTTTGGTATGTTCACCGACTACGCCGAGATGGCTTCACCAATCGGAATGAAATCTATTGCATCTGATAGAGCATCACTGCCACTTGGTCCCATAAAAGACATTTGGCCATTTTTCATTTTTTTACCCCTTTATACCACTTTTTAGCGCAAAAGTCGTACTTTTTGCTACACATATATGTTTGGCCTGAAATCAATGAAATCGATGAAAACCCCCTTACATTTTGCTGCCGGACAGGTTTTGGCGATGATTACACATGCAAAATTTATTAATTTTTTTATTGTTTAGAACTATTGTTATTGCAAAATTCCTATTTTTTTTATGTAACTCGGCAAGGAATTAACCGATTGCGATGGAGCCTTCCGCATTTCATGATAGATAAATTCGTGATGTTCCCATTTGCAAAAATGTATGGACTTGTTCAGACAGAAATGTACTTTCATTGTTTAAAACCATTGTTAGTGCAAAATTGCTATGCTCTGGTGTAGCTCGACAAGGAATTTACCAAACACAATCAATCCTTTCACATTTAGTTGCACATGTAATTCCTGATAATCCCATTTGCAACTATACAGGGTGTCCTAAAAATGTTGGAGGTCCTCGAATGGTCCTTGAACATTGCTCATAACTATTGTTATTTCATGAAACCTATTTGTTATAGATTGCCACTAAAAAGAGTGAAACAAAATAATTTTTGGGAAAAGAATATAACCGACTTCGAAAAAATATTACAATTGCACTAAAAAGTATGAAATAATTTCTAGTTAATTGATATGAATACTCACCAGTTATAGATATAATTGCTTAAAAGTATGAAATAATTTCTATTTCATTTATATTAAATGATATCGAAAAATATATTAATTTCCTATTTCCTTTATATTAAATTATGTTAAATAACCTTTTTGTAGTCGGCACAAAATGAAAAATTACATACATTAAAAATTACCAAATTTGGTTTGACTTTCTGTCGATGGGACAAAACTTACGCCCTTAAATTATTGCTATCGTCATATCTACTTTAGACATCACATACATTAACACTTTTCACCATCAGCGCCTTCACCAGAAACTATTCCAAATTTACTCAGACATAACTTTCACGTAGACATTTATTGTCTGACTGAGCTTTCCACAGGACAGTACCTCGGTTATAGGGCCATACCTGCCCCCACCCAAAGGTGATGGGTTTGTAAAACGACAAACGGGCGCCTAGTAACTGATTATTATTACCAGTGACCACTGGTGGGGTTTCTATTCTAACAAACCCTCACATGGCTGACCAGGAAAGAGAATAGAAAGACCTGGAAGACTGGAAACCTCGTAAAATTCTAGTCTTGAGCAATTGTAAGGAATTTTGCTTCTGGGTCCTCTTTTTCTGGGGAAGTCTATTGCCACCAACAACCCCAGGAGACGGACCCGGATTTTCACGTAGACAGTATACATGTAGACATTAATAGCATTCAATATTGCCGCCCTGACCAAAAACTAACTCAAGCAGGAATTACAAATTTTTGATATTGTGCCGACTACGAAAAGGTTATTTAACATAATTTAATATAAAGGAAATAGGAAATTAATATATTATTCGATATCATTTAATATAAATGAAATAGAAAAATTTCATACTTTTAAGCAATTATATCTAGAACTGGTGAATATTCATAACAATTAACTAGAAATTATGTCATACTTTTTAGTGCAATTTTAATATTTTCTCGAAGTCGGTTATATTTTTTTTCTCGTTTGGTATCTTCCGATTCGGAAATCGTTCGGGATAAAGTGGCTTTGCTTCGTATCTACTTTAATTTGCTCTTCCGTAAACAAGAACCATATTGGTCATTTCCGAAAATGAATATTCTTCCATTTTTTTTTCTAAAAGAACACAACACACAAACACGATAACTGAAATACAAAAGAAGTACTGAAAAGAAAAAATTAAGTTATTAATAATCGTGTGTCGTACGTGCGCTACTCGACAATAGTACCGAAACGGTCCGCGTAAATCAGACAGTGAATTTACTCTCTATGTTGTCGCCTCGAACGTTCGCTTTATTCTGAATTGTTTCGTCGTAGATAGTTGGACAGGGAAATATTTAAAATGTACAAGTTAGTGCCAATACGTTCTCCAATACTCTGAGCGAATGACACAGTATGTGTTTACTTTGTATGTAGCGAGAGCGCAACTAATGTCGGCATCCCTTTTGTCACACGATCCGCCAGCACGTGGATCATCATACTCTCACAAATCTCACATACGTATGAAGAATCACATTTGATTTTTGTGAAACACTTATATTAAACTTCGCGAAAGTCCATTTGGTGCAGTGCCGTCGGAGGAATGACGCATGTGAATGTGCATCGGTGGGTCTTTCTCGCGTGTGAGTGCGTCTATGTGCGACCGCGCGTTCAGCTGACAGGGATTCAAACAACCCGCGCCAGAAGTAACACCTGTAAATTTCAACCGCTGATATCTCGACAACGAAGCCTCAGATCGGAAAATGGCAAGAGACTTTTCCATTTATACTGGCACGAAGACTTCATCCTGAACAAATGTCCCACATACTTGTTAACACCCTGTATAACAAGTCTAAATTGAAAACATTTTGCTGATATAAATATAATTAATAACGCAATAGTGTAAAAACTTTTGACACTTGGCAGGTTATGAATTTGAAACTGTTTCTAATTTAGACTTTTTACGTAGAGCTTATAGAAACGAAGGGGGCCCACAGGCTTGGAGGTTATCTGGCGAAATTTGTAGATGGAGAAGCATGGAGAACATCTTAAATTAATTTTATAATTTACTACAATATATTGTGCGTAAGTAATAGTGGATCTCTTCGTTCATTTACTTACTTCATCAGTACCATTTAAATTTCTTGCAACAAGAAACAAAATTTGCTAATATTTATATTGTAGCGACTTCGTCACTACCAGGCCTCCACTTTCTAATTTCACTTTTCGACAATCCTATTGTAACAATTTGTCAGGTAGGTCCCCGGCGTTCGAGCCTGCCGAGGACCGTTCGCACATTTGGCGACCAAATGTGCGAACTTGGGTTTTTCTGGACTCGCTGTCCGTGTCCTGAACCAGGTATGAATTCCGGCAGGACACGGCAGTCGTCAGTCAGTAATGCGTCAGTAACGAGTCAGTAACAAGTCACGATCGTGAGCGAAACATATAGAACGCACGACTCGCGTTTTCCTGAAACATAT